ACTTTTTGTTCCTAAAGTCACCATTCAGCCTCTGGCCAGAGGAATTTTGCACATGCTTTCACAGAGCCTGTGCCTCTCCTTTCTAACAACTTTCACAAGGGCAGTTTTTCATTTGTTCTCAGTGACTGATTCCCCTGTCTCCCCAGTAAGGTTCCAGACTTCCATGAAGGCAGGGACCATGAACATTTTTGCTTACTGTTGTTGCATCCCCAGAACCTCACACAGTGCCTGGCACAAAGTAGGTGCTTAATAAATAGCTGCTGAAAAAATACTATGAAATATATTAAATGATAGTACTGTTTAGCTTCCGAGAGTGTATCAGCCTAAAGTCATTCAAATCAAGGCTGAGGAAGATTAAGGCTTAGCTATTCTGGTTTTGATCAAATAATACAGGAACATTTTTGTGGTTATTTGGGTGATAAACTTATTTTGGAGACAATTCTAAAAAGTTTAACAAGTTAACAATATTCATTTGAATATGTATGGGGATGACCAATTGTAAAACATCTTTTTTTTTTTTTAACAGAATAAGAATTGATTTTTGGAAAGGCTCACCCAGGTCAAGCCAAATTAAAGAAAAGCTACCACTTACTTGATCAGGTACAGTATTAGGCACTTTATATACTTTTTTTCATTTAAGCTTCATATCTGATTATTACTTAAGTTTACAGAAAAGAAAATCGAGAGAGAGGTTACGGTGGTATACCAAGTGGCAGAGCCAAGGTTCGTATCCATGTCTTTCCAAGCCATGTTTTTAATCTAAGTTTTGTCTCAAAGCTAGGAAATAAATGCTGACATTGAGTAATAATGTGTTGCTCTCAGCCACTCAAACACCCCATCTTTCTTCCAAAACATGGTCCAACACAGCAGGCTGCCCATCAATTGTGGGAAATGATCAAGTATTTAAAATAGGGTTTGGAGGCCAGTGATGTGATAGCAGCAAAACTAGACAATTCAAAGGAAAAGGAATAAGCAAGAATATAAACTAGCATTTACTGAAATTTTGTTTTATGTCAGATACTATATTAGATGCTTTAATATATAATACTTTTTAATCCTAAAAATCCTGTGAGACAGTTAATATCCATCAAGAAAAAAGACATTTAGAATAATATTTGTACCCCCAAATTACTTTCCCCCTTTTCTTCTATGGATGTGAAACCTCCCCCACTCCTTTTTTTTAAGTTGGGAACCACACTATCTGGAATGAGGACAATATTTCCCAGGATCTATTCCAGCTAGGTCAGGTTATACCACTAAGTTCTGGGCAACGAGATGTAATAAGAAGTATATGATGGCATCCAGGAAATTTCCTTAAGAGACCCCAGGCTCTTGCCTTTCCCCTCCTCCTTTTTTGCCTTCTTTCCTCCTTTACACTAATTATAAGTTGGATGTGATAGCTGAAGCTCCATCTTGGATCATAAGGTTGAGGGCCTCATCTTATATGTGGTAGATCCAAAAGGTAGAATCAGCCTAGTTCTCAGAAAACTGTAGAACTATCACATCAGCCCTGGATTGTCCAGTAATTTTTTTTTTTAATGTGAAAGAGAAACAGATATCACTTTAATTAAGCCATTGTTCTTTCAGTCTCTGTAACTGGTAGTTAATCTTAATTAATCCAGCAACTCATACAAAGGGATGGTAGAGTTCAAACTCAGGCCCATCAGTCTGCAAATTTCATGCTCTTAGTTTGTAAAAGCCTAAAGAACTCTTGCTCATAATTTGCAATAGATTTTGGGGAAAAAAGTGTTTCAAAATGCAAAATGCTGAAAATGAACTTGACAGAAGAAAATAGGGAAGATTCAAAATGCTCTCAAATTTGCATACCTAAGAAAGAACCAAAAGGAATATGCTACTCTCCAGTGAAGAATTTGGTCTTTATTAGAACAAGCCAAGGAAGATCTCAGTCACCTGCATGGAGCTAGAAACAGAAAAGAAATGGAAGCTGTGCCCTGGCAGTTTCCGTGAAAGATGCTGGACTATTAGTGGAAGAGCGGGCATTGCAGAATGAAGCCACGGAAATGGCCACAGAATGATACGGATGAAAAGAAGAATTTAAAGGGACTCTGAAATCAAAGAAGCAGTAGATGAAGTTCAAACATACATAGCCTGAAAAGGAACAAGCAGAATCATGTGACCCATATCAAAAACAGCATAAAGGTCAAAGACGGAAAGGTCAAGGTTGAAGCCCTGACAACTCATTTTTATTCATTTCCTTTACTTGGGTTCACAGCAGCATTAAAGGAGTAAATTTAAATTGTGTTGCAATTGAGTAGGATCCTAAATGAAGGCAAGTCATAGAACAGGGAGTTTATTATACCCTTTGTTCAATTTCTTAATGAATAACAGTGATAAGAACTTAGGAGAGAGATCAGTGATTGCAGTTAGGCCTGAATTTATTTAACACATTGACTGCCAAACCAGGAAAAAAAGTTTTCCCTGGGGCCATGGTGTTTTATTAAAACAAAATGATTCTTTCTAATTTGTTATCTGTTACTGTTTTCAGTGCAAGAATTATATGTAACACAATCCACATTTTTAAACCATCAATATGAACTGTAACAATAAGAACATTAACAAGTAAGATTTTCACAAACCAACTGCATGCAGGGTTTTGCTTCATGAAGCTCTGGGCTCAAAACTGGCCTGACTTAAATACAACTTACATGGCAGTCAATGTGTTAAGATCAATCTGAAATTTAAAAAATAGGTTATTATGCTGCTAAAGCATTATTTTAAATACCAAAGAATGTAAGTCATAATAAAGGCACATAGGTAGTTTAGAAAATACAAATGGGAAATGAAAGTAGGTAACACCAATAAAACGAAAGGCAGATATATGAAAACAGACATGAAACAAATTAGAAGGCATTTTACAATTGGTTAAATAAAATTTCCACTATAACTGGGTCTCCCAAATTCCTTTTTAATAGTCACAGGTCTAAATTGTTTGCTGGTGCATCCAGTACTCTGTGAGGACAGCATGAGGGACATGCTATACATAAGGCAACACAAATCATTCCACCAAGTGTGGAAGAATATGATCAAATCAGAATGCATTAGTTTCTGATAATATCAGTGTATGGTAGAAGGATGCTGGTAAGGTAAATAAAATAGAAAATTCAACTTCAGAGATATTAAATGAAAATCAGGGATTGGATTAAACAGATTATTTTTGTATGGATAGTAAAAAATAAAATCAAAAAGGAACATAAAATACTCAGATAGTATTGAAATGATTTGAAAACTGAAAAATAAAACCCACCTTATTTATAAATAAAGCTGGCTAAAGCAAGAATCCTCTAAATTTTACAATATTTTCCCCCTTCAACTTCAGAAAACAAAGAAAAAAAATGGCAAATTTCAGTCCACTGCAGGAGAATACCCATATGGATTAGTCTAAAAAAACTTGGAGGAGCTGGTAGTTGTATTGATTAGGGCCCCTTTTTATTTTCATGAACGTTGGTGTTTTCATTCTGAGGATTCAGAAAATTGAAAGAGCAATGAAGAATGGTGGTAGAGGTAGGGAAGAGGCTTAAAAAAGCAAAGCTCAACTAGTCAAACGAAAGCACTCAAAAATGTGAAAATATTCATGTTAGGCTGAACATGTTGGAACACCTTTCCAATCAAAGAAAAGCAGAACACGTTTCAAGGAACAGTAAACTTATTTGTAACATGAAGATTTAAAAAATTTTTGTATTCTAAGTTTAAGGTGCCATGACCCAACTGTGCGCTCGATGGCAACTCTTCCCCCATTCTCTACCTGAACTACGAGCACTGTTTTTAGTTTAGCAAAATATCAGACGTGTTAGGGCTTATATTCTTAAGTCACACAGGGCCAATTACCTGAGCTTTAGCTGTCATTTTATATTTTTTTCATAAAGCTGCTGATTAGCAAAGCCAGAAGCAAAAGAAAGTCACCGAGGCACCCGCAGCTCAAAGAGCATTTAGGGTTCTCAGGAGGTATATCCTGTACACATGGAGGGTACTGGAATTAAGTAATTGTACTGCCATTTGACTTCTTTTCCATGCTCAGTCCTACACTTAAGGTTATCGGAACAGTCTGATAAAGATACATACTCGTTAATGTTGTCTTAATATACACTGATCAAATTGCTACTTTAATTTGGTTACATATTTACAATTTAAAATTTTCATACCAATATCTTTTTTACAGTTGAGTATTTTTTTAAGTTTTTAGGCAAGGTGAATTTATTCAAGGAAGTTCCCACACTGGTTTTGTTTTTATATTTGGGTTTGTACTTCTGGGGGTAGTCTTTCTGACCACAAAGAAAAGTCTTCCACAAATGTCATCTGACTGAAGGCAACCTATGGACTTTGGGAAGTCAGTTGAGGACACAGATTAATGAGCCAACACTGAGCCTTCTCCCTTCTGACCTCTCAGCACCTGCATGCTCAACTGCAACCGGGAGGAAGAACCTCTTGAGTCTCCTCTTTAAATGGGGAATTAATTGGTTGCCCCCTTCTCCCTCAAACAAATCAACGCCCAACACTACCACCAAATTGTAGGCAAACGGGCATCCAAGAGCATGAAATGTTTCCCAACAAAAACAGCGCCAAGGCAGGGGGCGAAGAGGAGCAAACAAATGTGGACACCCTCGGGGAGTTCCGCTCACCTGGAGCGCGACTCCAGCCTGGGAAAGCAGAACCCTTTGCCCGCACAACCCCGAGGATTCACACTCAGGCGCAGCGCCGAGACCGCCGGGCTAGAGAGGGACCACCTCGGCGCGGCCGCCCACTCCCCCTGCCCAAGTGACCCCCGCACACAGGCGAGGTCTTGTCGGTGGCACCGCTCCCTCTCTCCCGGAGGCAACGGAGCCGCCACTGCCTGCAGCCTGGTTCGCAGGTGAGGCGTGCACAGGTAACCGCACCTGCTCGGCCAACCCCACCTGCTGCGTCCCCTTACCCCGTCCTCCTCCTCCTCCACCCCGGTCGCCTCGGCTCCTCCTCCCGGAGCCGGGTGTCACGCTGCGACCTACCTGCGCGACTCCAGCGCCCGGCGCGGGCGCTCCCCGCGGCGTGCTCCCGCGCCACCCTGGGCGCGCCGGCGGCGGCCCCGCGCCCGCACTTTCGCGGCTGCCGGCGGCTGCGGGCTCAGCGGGAAGCCCCGGCGCTGCCCTGCTCGCCGCCTCCGACCGGCTCCATTGTGACGCGGCGCGTCCCGCCGGCCAATGGGCGCGCGGCGGCGCGAACCGCTGACTAAGTTCGCGGGAGGAGGGGAGGGGGCGGGGCGGAGGCCGCGGGTGGAAGCGGCGGCCACGGCGGTGGCGGCAGCCGCGGCGTAGGAGGAGGAGGAAGAGGAGGAAGAGGCTGCTGCCGCGTCGGTAGCTGCTCCTGCTGCGAATCTTTCAGCTCCCTGGGCCGAGTGCGTGCCCAGCTTCGGGACTGCGGGAGCCGGTGACTCACCTCTCGCTGCTGCAAACAAAGCGCAGCTGCCATCTCCCCGAGCGCGCCATGTGGCCGCCCGGCGCCCTCGCTCAGCCGCGGTGCGCGGGCAGGGGCGCACGGCCGCGCCGCTCCCAGGGAAGCTGGAAAGCGCCGGGCTGCTTCCCAGAGACCAGGGGAGAGGGGCTTGGGCTGCTCCCCAGGCGCGCCGCGCTGGTGACTTTGGCAGCGCACTGCGTGTGTGTAGGGCCCCTGCCTTCTTGTGCGCCCCAGAGTAACTTGTTCTTTATATTGCGTGCGTTGGGCCCCAAGGGAAGGACCCCGCCTCCTACACACTAAAGTCCCTTTACCTTTCTTTACCCTGCTTGCTTAGAAAGATTGCAGGACCCAGCCCCTGTGAGGGAGGCTTTACAGTTGTACCAACTAAGCGGCTTAAGCTAGATTCCGGCCTCCAACAGCATCCACTTCCCTCAAATGTCCTTATCCTCCTGATAGGGAGGGGACCACATGGTCGAGAGGCTGTCCCCATACACATAACCAACGTTTTATTGCTAATCAACTGCAGGTCCACCCCAAATACTGCTCCGACCTGCTTCCCTCCCAAGTGGCCCTGCATTTGAAGACCAACAGTGTTCCTTACAAAACAAACAAAAAATTAATCCAAGCCCAAGAATCTGAGGCACAAATATTTTTATCCTCACCCACTCCCTACTCTCACCCTCATCCCAGCTTTAGTTCAGTCCCTGCCCTGGCTATTATGTCCAGCACAGCGATTCAATTAGGCAAGATTTATATCTTTTAGTTGCTATGACGATCACATTTCCATTAAAGAAAGAAAAACAACTTTGTACAGGCACTTCCCAAAGGAATAAAATGAAAACCATAACAGACTCAGCATTTGGGGTATCTGATCAATTTGTGTAAATGGGAAAATGCACCACTGAATTATATGACATTGAGTTGTGTCCCACAAAGACTGTTCAGATCAGAATTACAATTTGAGTCACCCTGAAAGGGAATAAAAAGGCTGTCTTTGTTTCCCTACTCTGTTCTTTTTTTGTCCACTCAGAAAGAAGACAGCTGCCATCTCAGAATGGACTGAATCTTGGAGGAAAACCTGAAAGAGCCTTCCTTCATTTGGTCATTCAGCAAGTTTTTGTGAGTTCATATGTGTGAGACACTGAGTATGCAGAGACCTACCAGTCTAATTTAGATTTGTTTGGTCCTCAAACTGCTTGCCACCTGGAGAGAGAGAAAGAAAATATATAATAATGAAACAAGGAAAAAGTGAGTGCCATAGGAAATACAGATTATAAAGTCATGACATTAAAATTTGAAAATATCCAATTTTGCATCTGTATCTTTGAATGTTTGGAAAGGAATATTCTCTCTCCTTCCAAATCCACAAACAGATAATTCTATTACAGCAATATCACTACCTGTGTGACTTGGGGTAGTTACTTCTTCGGAGTCAGTCTCTTCATCTATAAAATAAGGATTAATAATTAGACGATCTGTTAAGATTCCAGCTCCAGAGATGATAAGAATAAAAAAGTGATTTCCATCCTTGGTAACTCAAGTTACCATTAGCAGGAAGTTAGAATGATCAAGTTCATTCAAGTGTATTAGCTGTGGGTAAATCTCAGATATGTAGCTTATAATGTACTTATTGTTTTTTTCTAATTCTTGTTAATGAAGTTGTTCTCCATGGTAACACCATTTAACTGACACTGGAGAGAGAGGACTTCTGAATTTGAGATATTGCATCCAGGGATCCATCTCTGGAACATGAGCATCAAACAGATATTTCTCTTGTTCTTCCTTGTAGGACAGGACAGATAAGCTCCTGCTTGGATTACAGTGAAGAGAAAGATAAATAACCTCAAATGCTGTTCTTGGAGAATTTTTTAATACTACGCAGACGATATGGGCCCACTAGGAGAGAGTATTTAGTGACTAGAAAATTTTGGCATCCCAAGGTAGGCCTTGTAATGAGAAATATAAATACCGTTGGATGTTTATACCTGTGCCAAGTTTTCCACTGCATTGTAATCTCTTTGAAAACAGGACTCCATAGAGTCTTGAAATATTTTTAATGCTTATAGGAGTATCTGAAATTCTCTAAGGAACTCTTTGATCAATTTATTTTGGTAAAAGAAAATTTTAAAAGACTCAGCCATCATTTTCACAGCCGGGTTTATCCAAGTCTACAATAGCGATTAAAAATTCCATCATATATATTAAACACTGTCTAGCAGTGTGCTAGACATCATGGGCCATACCAAAGAAGTGTGAAACTTGGTCCCTGATCTCCGAAGCCCACAATTTAGATGAAGATAGAAAACAATCAAGGGCTTCTTATGCTCAAATGAAGAGGCGATAGAACAATGTGGGTGGAAGTAGTCAGAAAATGCCTCATGAGGAACTTAAATTAAGCTTTGAAACAGGAGCAGGATTTAGAAGGACTATATTCTATACCAGTGCCTTATCTGCCTGCCCCAAACATTGTCTTAAAATAACCAATCCACCATCGGGGCTCTTTCTGGCAAGCTGAGAATTTAGAGAAGAAGCCGAAGTGAAAATATTTTGTTTCTACAGCATCTCAAGAACAGCTGGTAGTAGGGTCTTTACATTCACATGACAGAGGGGATGAGAATGAATAGCAAGTGTAGCCAGTTCCTCTATCCAGCGACACAAGCAAAGTCAAAGAGAATAGAAATAAGACAATTATTACAATTTGGTTATCTGGTGGCTGAATTCTATGACTCATATGAAGTAATCACCTAACTCCTGAGTTTGGCAGGTCTTTACTGGGCTGATAACCCCGAAAAAAGAAAAAGAAAAAGAAAAAAAATCTGAGTGACATCAGCAGTAAGCTATGCTCCATGTGGCTGCTTTGATAAGAGTTAGTTTTCTCTCAGTCTTGAGAACATTTTTATGATTAATGGAAGACAGAATATTATCCAACATTAGTAGTTCTTTTCCAATTCAGTATTTGAAAAATCCTTTATGATAAATGAAAAATCCTCTATCTCTTCAAATTAATTAGGCTTTGAAAGTCTACAACATATAAAAGAAAGCACTGGAGATCTGACAGAGGTGAGGGAGAATACCAGGATAAAATATAATAATTCCTTTTCTTAAAGATATTGTACTCTGGCATGGAAGGTATATCCAGAGAGCACAGAGCCTCCTAAAGGGGAGGTGAGGTTGGTAAATGAGCATTGCAGGGAGAAGCATACAGAACACGGGACTAAGGAAGTTTAGCTAGCTTCAGGGTTCTAAATTGGAATGTTACTCTAATAGTACATATAACTTTTACAGCTTGTCTCAGCCTCATGGTTCAAATTTGTTCTAAAGAAGCATCAGATAAGAAGAAAAGAGCAAAAGTCAATGAGTGAAAGCCACTCATAATTTTGCATTCTCAAGAAGTTTGCCAAAATTCCCCTGGTTCAGCTATGTATGATTGAGCATGTTGCCGTGATGAAGGATTTTTATTTATTTATTTTTGGTCAAGTAGTTCACCATGTTTTTTTTGACCTTTACAATCTCCTGGTTGCACAGATTTAAAATGAGTTTTCCTTGAGCCTGGGACAAATTCTTAGAATGACCCCTGAGAATGAGCTCAGTGGTGAAAATTCTGAGGACAGGATGAGATGAGTTGGATATTGTCCATGTGTTTGGAATAATGTAGTTTGACCTAGAAATCCAAACTGCAATTGTGCAAGGCCGGCTGAGCACTTCTAAGTCAATCCCCTGTCATGGTCCCAGTCTGCAATAGTCACAACTAGTTACTATGTTTTCTCACCACCCACTTTGCTGACTGCCCCCTCTGCCTTAACTATACAGTGCCTGTTCGTTATCAGCCAAGTGCTGTGAAGGTGACCTTCGAGCCTTTTCTCCTCCTGAAAACACCAATCCCTGCAGCAGGATGGCTGACATCCTCAGTTGATCTGTCTTCTGGGAAGTTGTCCAAAAATTTCTTTGAAAATTTCTCATGCATCCCATTTAAAGAAAAAATATATGCTCTCATCTGGGTCACATATGGGAATGTTCCATAGAGAAGCCAGGAAGTTATTGACTCTTGTCCTTTTCCTATTCATAAAAAGAAAGTGACTTCTAAGAAAATATTTGCCCCAAAGCCAGGCTAAAAGTCCAAAATTAAAGCAAAATTAAAGCTCCTCTGCTCCGGTGAAGTGGCCTAAATAAAGCCCTGATGCATTCTGCTAGTGAGTGAGACACTTGCTGGCATCCCTGGGAGGATTCAGTCTGTGTTCCCTCACCCTGCTGAAATCTGGGCAAGAGGTTTCCTGGTGCTGTTAAAGTGGATGGTTTCTGAGGTTCCTCGTGGTGAACCATTCCTTTTCTTGGGTTTGAAGTAACCCAGGTCTAATACCAGCCAGACCTTAATTTCCCCTTTTTTTTCTAAGCAGCTATTTTTTTTTTCTTGGCCTAATATAAGACCATCTGTTGATTATAATACACATTGATTACTGGACTTCATTCTCCACTAAACTGAGAGTAGAAGCTGATATATCTCTGTGGTTTATTAAGATTTTGAAAAAAAAATCAAAGTAAGTTGTAAAAGAATGAGACTCAGAATATTTTAGAGCTCAAGACTAAAGAGATGGGTGTTAGAAAGAGCACTGGACATGGAGTCTTCTCTTGGGTTCTACTGTGGCTCCTCAGGCTGAGACCCAGGGCAAGCCACTGACAGTCTTGGCAGGTGTTCCTTTTCCAATTTGCTTACTCTGTCTTTCCTGGACTATATAAAAAGATGGATATAGTCTATGTTTCAGAGTCTCAGACCCCATTTAATTTCATTCATTTATTTGTCATAGAACAAAATTTTATTCTGTGCCCAGTATATGTAGAACACTGTAGGGGTTTGTGGGGATGCATGAGTCCATGTGATTGATGTGGCCTTTGTCCTCATGCAGCTGACAGTCTCTCGGCTTCCTCCAGAGGGTGTGAGCATTGGGCATAATGAATTGATAAGGACTATAACAAACCAAACTTCAAGTCTGCTTCACAACACCATCCTCAATGGCCTTGTTCCTGAATCCTATGTACCATCCTTCCTTATATCCAATTCACTATCTCCATCACATTTTTGTTTTGGGAACATATAAAGGCAGTAGGACACTTGCGCTTAAGAAGTTCAAATTTTTAAAACTTAAAACTAGAGACAAGTTAATGTAGCGGGATATGTGAGCACATATGGGGTCTAGCAGAATCTTCTAAGACAGGTTATTTACATGGCTCGAAACCTTCAACTCCAATGTGCTCTATAATAGCTGAATATAACCTGCTTACCTTATGAGAAAGGGTAGTAAAATAATAAAATGTGCTTTACCTTATTCCAAAATTGAGGGACAAAGGTAATTGGGTCTTAAATTGATAAAGGAGAAAGTCGGTTAAAATGGGGAAAATATTTTAGAGAAATTACCACCCGATGAGTGAATTAAAGAACTTAGGACTTCAGAGGAAGCATGCTGTGTTAGTGAGTAGAACAGATTTTAGTGGCTTACAAAGACCTCAGTGTAGGTGGGGAACTTACAGATAGCTTGATAACAAGGAAAGATGAGGGGGAATTATACCGAAGGATGAAAATAGATGTGTGGGGGGTGGAAATTTTGCAATTATTTCATTTTCATCTTTCAGTGCACTCAATTGTCAGAATTTTGGGATTTATTTTATTTATCAATTCAATAAACAGATATATTTTGCTATTCAGGGTCCCCAAGGACAAAAAAGGGTGCATGTATTATAACAAATGCAATCACAAAGCAAATAATTTGTATTTATAAACTCCTTTACATTTCATAGAAATCACTCAAATAATGTATTATAGCCATTTCTAGCCTATATGCTTGTACCTCAATACTTTGTATACCTAAGAAGTGATATACTCTTTTTTGATATATACATAAATTCTTTATTGCAACATGATTCATAATCACAAAATATTGGAAGCATACTAAATACCCAAATAAAGGAGAGTGGTTGAATAAACTACAATACATACACACAGTACAGTACTATACAGGTATAAGAAAAAGAACAAGGATTATCTATACGAACTGATGTGGAGCATTTCTTGGGATTTATTTTTAGGCAGAGAAATACAACTTTTAACAACTGACATCCATATCAGTGCAGCTTTTTGTTAATCTAATCCAGAACATCAAGAAATGATATAATCTATTAGCAGTCCCTAGGCTTGCTGAGTTACTCTGTTAAACCTCATGCAGCTCAGGCATCATTCAGAGGCCCACTAAGTTGACAGATGATGACTGCTTAACTGTAGACCCCTCATGTCCTCTGGAGGAATGCTGTGGGACTACATGTATCAGGAGGGCAGAGTCTACATTCATCACATGGACTAGTGTATCTCCAACAACTGGTTCAATGTTTTGCCTAGTAATTATCCCTTCTGTGCCTAATAGGCACAGAATAAATATTTTTTCAATGATGAATGAATGAACAAAACGAAATGAGGTCTGAGACTCCTAAAACATGCATCTTGTCTTGGATATTCCAAAGTCATTTTAGGATTTAACCCCTAGCTCCATCTACTTTAGGTCTCACAGTTTAACTTTGTTTTTACTTGATTAAAGAACCAACACGTATAGAAGACCAGGGTTTGGGAGTGGGAAGGAATATATGGGGGAATTAGGGATGACAAAGGAATGATATTTAAGTAGCAACATTTTCCAAAGTTAGTTAAAAAATTACTCATTACAAAATTATTTTTTATATTTGTCGTGGTTTTGGATGTCTTCATTTCCTCCATCTGGTAGCATCCACATCCACATTGGCATGGACCACTGTCCCCAACTTGGGTGTTTTGTGACTTTGCAGTGCCATACTATCATGAGATTTCCTGCATATTTCTTGACCATAGGATTGGATTCGGAGATGCTGGAGTCAACCATGATGATTAATATCAAATAACAGGCCAATGTGAGGACATGTGATCAGAAAATCATGACTACCTTTAGAAATAGCTACCTAAATAGAGCTTGGATTCTGGAGCAAGACTACCTGGGTTCAAATCTTGGCTTTGCCCTCATGTACTGTTTGAACTTTGTAAAGTTACTTAATTTCTCTGTGCCTTACTTTTCTACTTGAGGAATGGGTTATGGTGTGAATAGAATTAATAATGTGGTTAGGGCAATTTCAGGCACATAATAAGTCCCATGATGATCTCAGGTAAGTCAATAACCTGCTCTGTGTTTAGAATTTCTACCCATAAAGTGAGAGGCTTTTATTAGATTATCTCTAAGGTCTTTGTCTTGCTCCATTTGTCTTGCTACAAAGGAATACCTGAAGCTAGGTAATTTATTTATTTATTATTTTTTTGAGACAGAGCCTTGCTATGTCACCTGAGCTAGAGTGCCATGGCATCAGCCTAGCTGACAGCAATCTCAAACTCCTGGGCACAAGCAATCCTCTTGCCTCAGCCTCTCTAGTAGCTGGGACAACAGGTGTGTGCCACCATACCTGGCTGATTTTTTCTACTTTTAGTAGAGACAAGGTCTCACTCTTGCATGGGCTGGTCTTGAATTCCTGAGCTCAAGCGGTCCTCCCGCCTTGGCCTCCCAGAGTGATAGGACTGCAGGCGTGAGCCACTGTGCCCACCTGAGGCTAGGTAATTTGTAAAGAAGTTTATTTAGCTCAATAGTCCTGCATACTGTACAAGAAGCATGGTGCCAACGTCAGCTCAACTTCTGCTGAGAGCCTCAGGATACTACACCACTCATGGCAAAAGTTGAAGTAGAGCCAGCATGTGAGGGGTCACATGGCAAGAGAGAGGGGAGGGAGTTGCCAGGTTCTTTTTAAATGACTGGCTATCATAGGAACTCACTCACTAACGTGCCCCACCCTGGGGAGGTTATTAATCTATTTATGAGAGATCTACCCCCGTGACCCAAACATCTCCCATGAGGCCTCATTTCCAACATTGGGGGTCCAAATTTCAACATGAGGTTTGGAGGGACAAATATCCAAACTACAGCATCCCTCCTGAATCTACTGTTTTCAAACTAGGACAGTCAATCCATATATTTTTATACATGTATATATATGGGTAGAGATAGGGAAGTGGATTATTAATTATTAATATTAAATTCTTTCCTTGATTTATAGAAAAAGCAGGCTATTGGACTATTGAGGCAAGCTTCTTCATTAGATTCAAAATTCCTTGATTATGTCTCATTCCCTCTTTGGTTTTCTAAAGCCTAACAGGGTACCTGGGGATAGTGGGTCATCAATAAAGGGTTAATTATTATGGAATGAATGCCTTTGTGTCTTATGTTACCAGGTATGTGGGGAATGGAATGTATGGTAACTGCTTTCTAAGCCTTTTCTAGGTATAAAGCTACTAACACAAAATATTTTAAAACCATTAGTGCTCTCTACTGGAGATGTTCATAGTGCAGGAATTCTTAGTTGATTAACAAAAATTTTGTTTTGAGGCTATGAACTAAAGATTCAAGTTGATTGGTTTTCGATGGCAGATTCTGATTTGTGTTTAGAATTTCTGGATTTTAAAAATAAGATGGCAAATTAATATTTTGTTGTGTTGCAAGTGCAGATTTGGTGTTATGGTGCTGAGGATGACATTATTTGGCTTCATATGCCAATTCAAATTCGTTGCCTTATATTTCTGCCTTTCCTTCAGATCCCTTGAACCTATACATTTGTACAAATGTGATGTTCTTCCTTGTTCTTGGTAAATAGAGAGAGATCATTAATTAAAATATCAATATTACATAAGTAAAAAGATAAGCCCACATAATGGTAGAAAATATTTGCAAATAATATATTTGATAAAGGCATTGTATCCAGAATGTATAAAAACACAACTCAATAATAAAGAGACAAATAACCCAATTAAAAATGGCCAGAGGGAGAGGATTCTGGGAAGATGGCAAAGCAGGAAGCATCGGGAATCTGTCTCCTACATAGACAGCCATTGCAGTGGCAGAATCTCTCTGATGTAACTATGCTGGAACTCTGAAGTCTATTGAAGGCTTGCAGCTTCCAGGGGAAGGCTTAGACAATAAATTGCTATTAATTTCAGTCATTTTAACTCTTAGCACAGTAACAGGTACACTCTCCTCCACCCTTGCTACTCCATGGCAGTCGGCTATGCGTTTCTTCTGGGAGCAGCTTACACACAGCTTGTGGGAGTCAAAGTGGGAAAAAAGGAATCTGCCCTCCCAATATTGAGGAACTATGCTCTGGTTCCTAATTGATACTTTTGATGACAGAAGTGTAGACAAAGAGTTGGGTTTCCACTAGTGCTCCATCTCCCCCATTGTTTCTAGCCCCTCCCCCTCTGAAGTGAATTGCTGGGTGAAGTGAATTGCAGCTGAAGTGAATTGCAGGGACTTTAAAGGACCAGTGCCCTTTTGCCCCCTCATTTTTTTCTTCCTCCATTTTGGGAGTCAGACATGAAAGGCCAGAACATTCAAAAGCAACTACAGGGAAAATTAGAAATTAGAAAATGATCATTTATGCCCAGGGAAAAAAGACATGCTCAGAAAAGATCTGATAAAACCTTTTAAGGTTTTAAAGGGTCACACCTCAGGATGACCCTTGTCATAAAAACAGCCTAAAACAACACAGAAACAAAATGACTACCAACAACAAAAAAAACCCTAGGGAAGGAGGAGAATCTGATTTCCAGAGTGACCATATTATTAGATTTGAATGTTCAGTTTTCAACAACAACAAAATCACAAAACATACACAGAAACAGGAGAGTATAGCCTATTCAAAGAAAAAAATAAATTAACAAAAACTGTTCCTGAAAAAGACCTGATGACAGATCTACTAGACAAAGATTTTAAAACAGTTGTCTTACCGATGCTCAAAGAACTAAAGGAAGATGTGCAGAAAGTCAAGAAAACAAAGTATGAACAAAATGGAAATGATAATAAAGTGATGGATAACTAGAAAGAAACAAAAAAAATATTCTGAAGCTGAAAGTACAGCTGAAAAATAAGCTGAAAAGTACAACTGAAATAAAAAGTAACTAGGGGGGTTTAAAGGCATATTCAAGCAAACTGGAAGATAGGACAGTGGAAAATGTTGAGTCTGCAGAACAGAAAGAAAAATAATTAAATAAAAGTGAACACAGCCTATGGACCTGTGGGACAACCTCAAGGAGACTAACATATGCGTTGTGGGAATGCCATAATCATAATGAGAGAGAGAGAGAGAGAAAGAACAGCTAGAATATATGAAGAAGTAATGGCTAAAAATCTCCTGAATTTGAAATAAAAATATGAATATAAACATTCAAGATGGTGAGTGAATTCCAAGTCAGATGAACTCAAAGAAACCCACACTGAGACACATTATAATCAAACTTTCAAAAGTGAAGGATAGAGAATAAAGTAGCAAGAGAAAAGTGACTCTTCACATACAAGGGATACTCAATAAGATTATGAGGGATTTTTCATAAAAAATTTAGAGGCCAGAAGCAGTGGGCTGATATATTCAAAATATTAAAATACAAAGAGAACCTATCAATTAAGAATTCTATATCTGGTAAAACTGTACTTCAAAAAGTGAGGGAGAAATTAAAATACTCTGAGATAAACAACAGCTAAGGTAGGTGGTTATTTTTAGACCCGCCCTTCAAGAAATGTTTAAGGGAGCCCTGAGAGTGAAATGACAGTTCATCAAACAATAACTTGAAGCTGTACAAAGAAATAAAGACCACAATAAAGGTAAATTCATGGCCTTTTATATAAGCAAGTAGTATTATAACTATGGTTTATAACTGGACTTTTAGGTTTTATATGATATAAGAGATTAATATATTAAAAAAATTGTTTATCTAAAGCCAAGTGTAATGGCATGTGCCTATAGTCTCAGCTACTCGGGAGGCTGAGGCAGGAGAATTGCTTCAACCCAAAAGTGTGATGCCAGCCTGGGCAACATAGCAAAACACTGTATCATTTAAAAAAAATGGTCTAAAAAACTGGTATAATTGTAAACTTGGTTTTAACTTCCTATTTTGTTGTCTATGTGAATTAAGAGACTAATATATTTTAAAAAATTATTAGTTTATGTTTTGGGGCACACAGTGTAGAAAGAGGTAATTTTGTGGCATCATTGGATGGAGCTGTAAAAGGAGCAGAGTTTTGTATTTTATTCTAATTGTGCCACTTTAAATTTAAATTACAATGTTCTAACCTTAGGAAGTTAAATGTAATTCCCATGGTAATTACAAAGAGAATAGCTATAGCATGTATGTAAAAGAAAACTACAAAGAAATTTAATGTTTCATTACAAAAAAATCAACTAAATACACAAGAAGACAGTAATGCAGAAAATAATAGACAAAAAAACCCTATCAGGCATATAGAAAACAAATAGCTAAATGATATAAGTCCTTGCTAAATATTAATAGTAATTACTTTAAATGTAATGAAATACACTCTTTAATTGAAACACTTAGATTGGTAGAATAGATTTTTTAAAATATCCAAATGTACTCTGTCTATATGAGATTCACTTTAGATATAAGGACACAAGTAGATTGAAAGTGAAAGGTGGAAAAAGATAATCCATGCAAATTGTAACAAAAATATAGCAAGGTCCCTATTATAAGTAAAAAAAAGATAATAAGAAACAAAGAAGGACATTGTATATTAATAAAATATTCAATAATGCAAAAACATATAACAATTATAAACATTTACATATAGACCTAATGGCAAACCACCCAAATATATAAAGCAAACCTGACAGAACTGAAGGAAAAAATAGATAATTCTACAATAACTTTGGAGACTTCAATCCCCCACTCTCAGTAATTGATAGAACAACCAGATAGAAAGTGAATAAAGAAATAAAGAACTTGCACAACACAATAAGTCAATCTTTATGAAACTTTTCCAAAAATTGCATAGGAGGGAACACTGTAAAACTCATTCAGTGAGGACAACATTACCCTGATACCAAAGCCAAAGATACCACAAGAGAAGAGAACTACAGACCAATGCCTTTTTATCAACATTGATGCAAATATTTTCAACAACATAGTAGCAACCCCAATTCAGCAACATATTTAAAGGATTATATATCAGGGATAAGTAGAATTTATTTCTGGAGTGCAAGGTTGGTTCAACATAAGAAAATTGATCAATATAATATATAATAGCGAACCCCCCCACATCATCATCTCAGTTGATGTATAAAAAATATTTGACAAAATTTAACATATTTTTATGATAAAAACTCTTAAAATTGGAATAGAAGGAGTTTTCCTTATAATAAAAGACATAAATGAAAACTCACAGTAAACATCACATTTAATAGCGAAGGACTGAAAGCGTTTCCCTGAAGATCAGGATCCCTGAAG